ACCTTTAAATATACTATCATTGACTCGACGAATTGCATTTTGCCAGATATAAAAAATGCATCTTTACTAAATTCATACCAATCTATCGGATTATTTGAATTTTGATGTAAAAGATTTATAGACGGTGCTCATATTTGGCTGCTAAGTACCTCTCCAATGGAAAAAATGTTTATGTTTTTGATCAATTGTTCTCTAAGAGTGAAGATTGTTCATTGTTTTCATGGTTTAAAATAGTTTGTTATTAAACCCATCTTCTCTGTATCTCTCTCTCTCTCTCTCTCTCTCTATATATTATATATATATATATATATATATATATATATATATAATATATATATATATATATATATTATATAAGGCTTCTAGCAACATCTTACATAAACCAAAAATAAAACAATATACATATTGAATGTTAAAATTAGAAGGGTTTTATATAGAAAAGTTATATTATTTTTGGAAAAATTGTATAAAGTCCTAAAAAAAATTTAATAGAAAAGTCATGATTATTTAACATTTTGCCTAAACTAACGATTTTTTTTATTATTTTTTTTAATTTTAACATGAAATGAAAGATTATGTGACTTTCCCAAAAAAAAAATGAGACATTTCCGTTAAAAAAAGATTTAAGATTTTATTAATTTTTTTTAAAATAATAAGACTTTTCTGCATAAAACCTAAATTAGAAATTAGGTTTTGAATACCCTTATTTTGTTTGATAGAACACATTTTCTGAATAAAAAATTGCATAATTTAAAGCTCTTTAAAGTTTAAAAAAAATGATAAATTTTTTTATGACAAAACATTGAAAATAACTAAATCTCACTAGTAGCTTAAAAAAATTATGAAGTTACCTATATACAAGTATATTGGGAAAACTCTAATAGAAAACTTATACCTAACAATGTTCTTAATAAACACTTTACAACAATGAGAAGGTAATGAAGTTTTGGTGGTCTGTTCATTAAGGCAACGTTTGGCAACAGAACTGGACTGGACTGAACAGAACAGAACTAAACAGGACTGGACTGAACAGGACTAAACATGACTGAACTAATTTTTGTATAGTGTTTGGTAAGACTAGAACAGAACAGAACAAGTTACCGTAAAACGTTTGTTAAAGCTAGAAGTGAACATAACAACACCTAAAAGTTACCATATTTTCCAATGTCCTTACGTACAAAAAAGACTAAAAAATTAACTTAACATGAATCATTTCAAAATTAATAAAAAGATTCACACAAATTGTTTATAATTCCATATATTCGAAAAATGCTAATACTGATGTTAATATAAATCTCTTGTTGAAACACAATTACATGTATACAGTTGGATTAAATGTATAAGCCGTAGTTGGATTATGTCAATATAAAAATTACATTATAAGCCACAAGAGAGGGTTATATGAACTTAAAATTAGATGTCAAGATAACAATTAGAGGGGCTAGTAGAATACTGATTAACACACTCTGCAACATAGATCAATGTAAAAATTGAAGGTCAACACAAAAATTATAGAATATTGCCTAAAGAGCAATAGTGTTTTCTCAAAAACATTGAGTCGGTGGCTTTAGCTATCTATCTTATAAAAATAATAGGTTTAAGCTTATCCCACTGATTGGAATCACAAGTTTTGGTAATTCTCAAGATACAGTAAAATAAACAAGCCTCAATTTGAAACAAATTGGTAACTAAAGTTCCATTGAGTTAAGTAAACAGAAAATCGTACGTGTGATTATTGATGATACGCAGGAAGAGAAGGCGATAGTAAGCACTGCGTGATATTTGTGAAGAAGGCGTAGCAATGATGTCGAAGGAGAAGACAAAAAAATGTGATATTATTATTAAGACGTGATTATGAGGATAAACACATAGGAGATCAACATCAGAAAGAAAATCTACTGGAAAAAAAGATGTGCGTGTTCCGCTCAGTTCCATCCTTTTTCGGTGGGACTAAAAATTTAGGAATGAGTCCCATTGGACTTGGTCAAAATTATTTCTTGTTCTTGTTCCATCCACGCCAAACACCCTCTCAAGAGTCCTAGTTCTGTTTTGTTCCATCCTGTACCACACAACAAACGCTACCTAAAAGTGTTATTGTGATTAAATTTATAAGGATATACCGATATATCAATGCTTAAGGGTCATGCTTTAACTTTAAGCCTCAAACAAATATGAAAGTTCAATAATTAAATTCAGAGTCAATTATATTTTTGGTTCCTGATTTGATTTTTACAACTAAGTTTTTTTTTTTTTTTTTTTTTTTAATTTATTCCCAAAAATACAATATTTTTTTGGGTTAGAGACCAAAAATGCTATAAAAATATCAGTACTAAAATTAAAGAAATCTAGTATACTCAATGACCAAAAATGTACTTTGCTCTTGAATACCACATGTTCGAATACAATTAAATAAGATATTATAGAATATATAATTTAGAAAAAAAATTAGAACAAACTTTTATTCTAAGAAAATGTAAGGCCTGCTTATTTGTGGAATTCATTTTCACTTTTTGAGAAAAAAAAATTAGAAAAAAATGGAGTTTTCATTTTCAGTATAAAATCTAGAAAACTTGGTTGATTAAAAATAATTTATCATCGTAAATTATCAATTTATCAAGACATTATCAATTTATCATCGTAAATTATCTTTTATTCAAACTTATCTTTTAATTATCAATTTATCATCGTAAATTATAAGATTGTTCTCATCCGTAAATTAAACGTTTTATTATGTGAATTCGAATAAAAAGACAAAAAGAATGATTTAGTTTTTGATTCAAAATAGAAAGGACAAAAAGAAACAATTTATTTATGTAAACATCGGAAATTTTAAAGAAAAGAATGATTTAGTTTTTGATTCAAAATAAAAAGGACAAAAAGAAACAATTTATTTATGTACACATCGGAAATTTTTAAAGAAAATATTTGGGAAATCCAAGACAAAAAAAAAAAAAAAAAAAAAAGCTACATTGAAAGCATGACCAACAACGCGCAACACACGATCTTATCTTTAATTAATATTTTAATAATTAACAACGCCAAAATCTAGATATCTTACAAAAAAATACGGGTTATTTTTAATAATTAATGTATACACGTTTTATTGGTCAGTTTCCTAAAATTGGGAAAGATTACTTTTTTTTTTTTTAAATGAATCGAACGAGTAACTAAAATACTTTCTTTAATCAGTAAATTCAAATTCAAATTCAAATCCAAAACTAGTTTTTGTAATAAATAATGAGTTAATGAGGTGCAATATGTGACAATGAAATCCCACCATCATTATTATATATATATTAAAGTTGTGGAAGAAAGGAATAGTAAATTTGAGATACTTTGTCTAAGTTTGGTCCCTTGATTTACATATCCGGTCCTTGTACTTCTTTAATTAATTTATTCATGTCTTTTGTTTGTGTTCCATTCAACTTCCCATTTTTTTGGCAGAATTGGTCCCTGTATTATTGTTGGAAGTTAGGAATACTAAATTTGGATGTTTTTTGGCAACTTTGGTCATTATTCTTTACCCATTTTGACACTTTTGGTCCTTGCAATCAATATTTTTACACTTTTTTGGAACCTTTTAATATTTAAAGTTTGGCCACAAAACTTTAACGGTTTGACAACTTTGATCCCTTTTCTAAAAAGTTGCTAATTCCTACCCCTTTAATTCTTTTAGCCATTTTCACACTTCTGGTCCTTACAGTCAAAACTTTTACATTTTTTGTCCGGGGCAAAGCCCGGACTTTCCATCCTTGCACTTTCTATGTCTGTCATATTTATCAATTTGGAAACAACATTAAAAGCTTCTGGCCCCCGCGTAGCGGGGGTAACCTTTCTAGTTTATAAATAAACTTGTTCTTATCTCCATAGATAACAATAAAGGTAATTGTAATAATACTGATGATCTTTTTAAAAACTATATAGACCATAGGCGTTAAAAATATACAAAATTAATGTATATATCTAATTAACATCACATGAAGTATATGTATTTTTTTATAGAAACTATATATCCTTTCGGCAAAATCATCACATATGGTATTGTTTATGTCGTTTACTTTCCTTCAACCTCATTCTAATTTCCTTATATCAAATAACAGAAGATTCAAATTTCATAATCAAATTATCAAACATTAACATCACTTACTTTTCTTCTGTCTTTTGTCGTTGTTTTGTTATCGATGATGGATATTGAATTATTTAATGAAAATTAAATGAATCATGCAATTTTTGAACATTTCATGGTAAAAAAAACTAAAAAAGCATATGAACAGAATCAGAAGAGGGGAGTAATTGTCACATTTTGAATATTTGTCTAAAAAAGATATAACCACCAAAATAAACTGAATTTTTCAAAATTATATAAAAAAATCACAGAATAATTCTAAGATTTTTGTAACAGAGACCTTAATATAATAATTGTACAAAATGTATCTTGTCAAACCAATAATTATTTATAATAAACATTCAAAAACCAATATGATAGTCCATTTTAATCAATCATTTTGGTGATTATCCCCTTAAAGAGCCCCACAGTTGTTTAAAGTTTAAACTTTGAGTAGATGATAAAACACCTCAAAGGTGCCAAGGACAAAATTGGAAATAGGAAGATATGACAACAAAGAAGAGCATAAAGATCAAAAAGAAAAACAGAGTCAATTCAATTGTATATATTTTGAACCCAATCCCCCGAAATTCTCCCAATTCTCTCTACCTAATGCTCCATGTTCAAATACCCACGCCCTAAATCTTTGTTTAATCAATACCCACATCCCAATTTCTCATAAATTTAAGCATCTTCCTCTTAATCAGATCAACCCTCTTTCGTCTTCTCAACTGCTGTCCTGTTTCATGGTTGGTCAGCTTAAAAAATGATCGAACCCTTTGACTTATTTCTTACGAAATCGGCTTTTTATTGATGTTATTACACTTCCCCTAATTCTAGGTTTTGAATTCGTGTTGAATTTTGTTTCAAATTTAGAGGAATTCATAATTCATTCATGGCGGTTCAAAAAGACAGGGTGAGGTTTAACGTTGGTGGTAAGATCTTCGAAACCACCGCCACAACCCTAGCAATCGCCGGCCGGGAATCTTACTTCGGAGCCATGTTTGATGAAAACTGGGACCTTCAAATCAATCCCGCCGGCGAACACTTCATTGATCGGAACCCAGATTGTTTTTCAATCCTCTTAGACTTATTACGAACAGGCGAGCTTTACATTCCACCAAACCTACCGGAAAAACTCCTCTATCGAGAAGCCTTGTTTTACGGCCTCATGGACCACGTCCGGTCAGCGAAATGGGGGCAGTTCGACGGCAACCGTCTTCAGCCGTCAAAATCCGTCACCGGCCGAGCACCAGGCGATGGAACAGCGATCCGAGCGTCTTCCGACGGCGGCTGTTGTGTCGCCCATGGAAGCATGGTCCACATTTACGATTGGATGTTAGAAGAACATCCTCCAATCAACCTCGATTACCAACGGGTCAATGACGCGGGTTGGGTCGGGCCGGTTGACCCAACCGGGCTCGTGATCAGCACGTGCGAACGGCTCGGCCGTGGTCAAGGCGGAATGGGGTTGTTCAATTCAACAACCGGAGAATTACGATACAAATTCAACGTCACACACGACGGCGTCGCCAAAAGTTACACCGCAGGTGCGTTGAGTTTTTCCGATGATTGTAAGTTATTCTCAAGTTGTAAAGGCCGAAGTAACGAATACGGAATCGGCGTTTGGGATCAAACCACCGGTCAACAAGTCGATTTCTTCTACGAACCACAAGGGTGGTCGCTCGGAGACGCCGATAAGCTCCAATGGCTAAACGGGTCCAACTGTTTATTAGTCGCCACTTTGTTCCCCAGAAAAGACAATTGTTACATTAGTCTGCTAGACTTCCGGTCAAAATCCATGGTCTGGTCATGGTCCGACATGTGGTCTCCGGTGAACAGCGACGACCGGCGCGTCCGTGACGCCATAGCCATGGAAGAAAACAGCTCGATTTGTGTTGTGAATGAGTTTGAAGATTTAGGGTTTATGGATTTGAGACGTGACGCTGGTTCAGTTCGATGGAGTTCAAGGTCTCGATTAATGAAAGGGAAAATGCCCGACGAGCCATGTTACCCTAAATTAGCTTTGCACGATGGACAACTGTTTTCCTCCATGAATGATTGCATCTCGGTGTTTTGTGGGTCTGATTGGGTTCTTACTTCGAGGCTTCGAAGGAGTTTTGGTGGGTCGATTTGTGATTTTTCAATTGGGGGTGATCGTCTTTTTGCTCTTCATAGTGAAGAAAATGTGTTTGATATTTGGGAAACTCCACCACCACCCATTGTGTGATTCGTTCTTTTGGATTTGTTATTGTTTCAGTGTGTTTTAGTTTACCAGATGCTAATCATAGAGATTTACTGTTTTAGTGTGTTTAGTTATCACTTGCTAATCATAGAGATTTATAAAAGGAGGTTAAATTGTTTAATGTTACTAAAATTTAACAGTGTGCTTGATAACCATAGCCCAAATGTACTTGAAATTTTGATAAACGGTAGCCCAAGCCCCAATGTGTATCTTTTATTTTATGTTGAATTGTTCACAAAAACAATTGATTTTTTAATATGTTACATGTAAATTCTATAAAGCGAAAATAATAAAAACTAAAAACTCTTATATTTAAAAAAAAAAGCTATTTAAAAATGTTTTTTGAATGAGAAACTTTTGGCTCGTATTTTGAATAAGGTTTTTTTTTTTTTTTTTAACATAAAAAATTAAAAGCTTTGAAAAACTTGTTTCTAGAAGTACACATAGAAAAGATGTTATCACGATTTAAAAGGAGTTTGTTTTGTTCTAGTCAGTTTATTTATTATTTTCGTTCATATGCCAAAATCCAAATGCTATTTTAAAATTATTAGAACTAATACGCTCGCGTTTTCATTTTAAAACCAAGGCAACCTAGCTATAATGACTTGTACATTATGCACTGGAACTTGTACATTGAAAAGGGAGCTAGGATGGGCCTTTTGAGCTTATCCGATTTCTTTTTGACCATTCACTTTTGCAAAGTGATTCTTGGCCATGTGGTTGCTAACTGACTTCAAAACTAACTCTTCTTGCATTGGTGGCTGCCTGCTCACAGTGATTATGTAGCATATGGGATCTGCCACTTTTTATACTTAAAAATAAGGTAACATAACTATAGGGTATGGGAACATTTGGGAAAAGTTTCATTGCTATAGACCTTGTATAAGTGTATATGCATTGTTCACTTGTACCTCTAGCCACTTCAGTTGTGCATTTTAACCTACATTAAAATTTGTATATTGCTAAAAATCTTGGGTGTTTTTAACCTCTTGAACATAATGCTTCTAAGATTGATAAAATTGTTTTTCCCGAAAACATGAAATCTCAATTCCAAATGATTTGCATATTAGGAATTAAAACTTGTTCCTTGGTCCAGAAAAGGGGGCTATAGCCTTTAAGATCATGTGCATCAAGATTTAAGAATCTTGAATGCCTCTAACCATTATAAAACCTGCACACAAGATGGAGTAAAACAATCACTTAATACCCCACAAGACCTTTGTCTTGCTTCCTGGTCTCACTAAAATTAATCAAATAAACTATTACACAAAGTTCAAATAAACCATTAAACAAAGTTCCAAAACTGCATTGTTTGACCAAATTTCAATTAAAAAATACTAGTAACGGGATCCACGCGAACAAAACATCAATTATAAACAACTAAAGATGATTAATTACTATAGGTTTGCCAATCGAGGGCCATCTGTCACTAGGATATATATATATATATATATATATATTATATATATATATATATTATATATATAATATATATATATATATAGATTACTATATATATTCTATATATATATATATACTAGGCGTACCTCGGGCGTGCGCACGAATGCCATTTAAGTGGTAAAAATAATTATGGAGAAAAAAAAAAATAGAAATATGTTGAAATTTACATTTTTAGTCATGTTTTGGACATTAACCGAATTATCAAATAACATAAAAATTCATCAATTTATATTTTGATACTATCTAATATAGTCCATACCTTATAACCTTTACTTTTACTTTTATAATATCTTATATATATTATAAGTTTTTGTATAACAATAACATTAATATAATCTATTTTTCTTATGTCCGATAATATTTATTGGATAAAATAAGAAATAAGTGTTTTAAATGAGCTATTAATAAACAATATTGAACTAATAAACTTTGTATTACGCTATTTATATTACACCAAAACATCCAAAGTTTCATATATAAACTTTCAAATATAAAACATTGAAATTAAGAATGAAGTGATATAAAATATATCATTATACATAAATGTCATTAAGAGTTTTAAAATAAGTCGATTAGTAAATATGATATTTAATTTTAATTACATATTTTGCAAGGCATACGTATGACTTTATGTTGGTGCGCCGAAAATCCTCTTTCTTAATTTGTACCTAAAAAATTAACGTGAATATGAATATAAAATAGATATTACTAAGCATTAATATAAATAATTAAAAGGGTATGTGGATCTCCTACCACCGGTTAAAGACAACATACCTCTCTAGTGGTATCGATTCGTATGTGAAATTGAAGTAGTCATTCTATGTACACCTTGTTTTCTAATTACATAAACAAATATGAGTAACCAAACA